TGCCCAGGAGGCAGGGCTGGAATGGAAAAAGAGGCCAGCGTGGGATGCACGGTGCTGCTGAGCCCATGGTGGGTCCTTCACCACAGCATTGGCTGCCTGTCTCAAGCCTGGGTTTAGATGTCAACACTGCTTAACCTAGCTCCTCTCTTCCTCCCTCCGGGCTTACAGGCATCTCTGCCTTCCGAGTCAGAAGAGCCCTACCTCAGTGTAATCAGCTCTCTGGTGGAGGAGGCTGAAGATAAGTAACCCTTGTAATCTGCCTGGCTTATAAGCACTGGTAACCGGCGACACCATTTGTCCCCTCTTCCCCTCTAAGCCCTTCAGGTGGTTCGTGACCTTTGATATTTATTTTCTGAAAGATCCCATGAATGACATATGAAAACAATACGTTAAAAATTCAGACACTGGGAGTAGATGGGGGAGGGGAAGGGGAGGAGGACTGAGTGGGAGGACAGAGAGGAAACTTCCGTGGGGATGGAAGGTAAATTAATTAGTTAATTAAGGAAAAAAGAAGAAGAAATTCAAGCACTAGCAAGGTAAAAGCACATGCTATTGAGCTCGATGACCTAAGTTTAGTATCCATGGTAGGAGAATAGAGTATGGCATGCTACTGGTGAACACACACACACACACACACACACACTTAAACACACAGACATGCTGACTAAGTAAATCAATTGAAATACAATAAAAAGTTAAACAATAATGATAACGTGTTATCATAAATGATAAGATGCCCTTCCTCCGCGCATATCCTAACATCATAACTGGTGAATGTAGACCTAGTCAAACGTTATATTCACCCAACTTGAAACTGTATCTCTTAAACTTGCACCAAGGATTAGACTGGCTACATCCTCGGAGGTGGAAGGAAAGGCACAGGCAATGAGTGAAGCCTGTGGGACTCCTGAGAGCTCCGGCCAGTGCCCTGTGAAGAGATGTTACCCGGCCACACCACTATGGAAGGGAAGCGGCATCAAGGGCTGCTCTCCACCTTCATGAGACAAATTCTCCCCGTGCCACAGCTCTCTGCCCCTTGTCATTTGATGTCAGAGGCCCAGCCTAGAAATACATACTAAAGGAAATTCAGCAGACACAAATATACACACACACACACATACACACACGCATGCACACACATACATGTATGCATGCGCACACACACACACAAACACATGCATATAGACACACATTCACACACATGTACACACTCACAATACACTTACACACACTCACATATACTTGGTAGCCAATAAGTTTTATTTCTTTTTATTCTAGGGAAAAATTTCAGAGGGGGCCCGGGACTTTTTGTTTTCCCTGACCTTCCGTACGTCCCCAGAAAGCCCTTTGTGGACTAGAAGCAGGCAAGACAGTCAAGGGCTCCTAGGGGAAAAGCCAGTGGGCATCTTTCCTTGAAGCAGGAATACCTTTCTTCAGGACTAGTGAGCTGCATCTGTCTGGGCATCATACGAGCCACCTACTTGAAATCTTGGGACCACATTTACTTTATTGGGAAATATGGCAGGTGTATTTCTAGAGGAGGAAACCTCTTCTCTCTCATCTGTGGAGAACAGAAGCCATTCCCAGTCAGGCCTAACAGAAGCCTTTCAGTCCGCCCTCCAGCCAGGAGATTAGCATTCTGAGGCACAGAAAAGTTACGCTTCAGCTGTAAAGCGCACAGCTGATTAGCAGTGTGTCTGGACTCCCGTTCCAGACCCCTTGGTCTTCAAACCTCCTCCCATTTACTCTACCACAAAAAGAGCACAGAGTGGTTCTCTCTGCCTGCGGTCCAGGGCTAGACGGCTCTGCTCAATCCCACTGTTACTTCCAAGATCCCAAACACAGCAGCCGACCTGTCTACCTTTCATTTCCTCATCTGTGCACTGGAGATTTTGAGGAACCAACCCAAACATGGCTGTCAGGACTGAGGGTGCCGGCTGGACATATGTTTGCACTATTCTTATATCTAGTTGCTTCTATCTCACACCCAGAATTGAGTGCACATCTGCAGCAGCTGTGTCTGCATGACCCCCCCAAATATAAGTGAGAAAGTACTGTTATCAAATCCATTCACCAGGAAGAGAGTCCAGGCCCCCTGTCAGATGATGAAACACACTCCAAGGCTAGCTTTTCTGCGTCTTATTCTTCTGCTTCCTTGCAATGCTGGGAACATACAAGTGGCAGCAAGCAAGCGCTCTATCCCCTTCTTAGCATTATCTGTGGGGAGCCAATAGCTGAACCTCTATTCTCATTGCCTGGCCCATCAGACCCAATCCAGGGCTCAGATGATAACTGAAGTGTGTGTGCTCCTTTTCCAGCTGAAACAGATGTAGTAATGAACATTGTGGGCCAGGGGAGGCAAACAGGGCAGGGAAATGGCTCATCTGTCTTCTTAATTGTCAACTCTGCCCATAATAAGATTCCCCTCCCCCCGTTCTACCTTAGGCTCATGCTGAACTGAGACAATCCAAGATATCCATCTTGTAGTCATGAATGGTGGCCTTCACAAAATGCCACCATAGGGATAGAGCGAGGCTGCTGCGTGGCTCAGAGAGGCTGGGAATACCAGAGGGAGCCTGAGCCAGAGAGTCAGTACTTTGGAATCTTTGCTCTTAACTAGCTGTGGGAAGTCAGTGGTCACTGCACCTCTCTGACCTCTGTTTTCTGGAAAATTACAGCCCCAAGGATTGGGAAATGGGGTGAGTTAAGTGTATGCATGACATTGTGAAGTTACATGCACTGGAGAAGAGGACCCGTAATTTTCATCAGATTCTTAAAGATACATGTACGTTATCCCTCCTCCATTAAAAAATTAAGAACTACTGGATGATTTCCATCCCCTCCCCCAACAAAAAAATCTATTGGGCACTTTCTGTGTCCTTGCTCTGTACCAGGCACTTGGGACTCAAATATGACCAGAGAGTCCTGCTTAAGGAGTCCTCAGTGACACCGATGCTCATAACTACATGTCCCAAGGCCATTGAAAACAAAGGAAAAGCAGCATTTAATTCATGTGGTCAAGAAGACCGACCGTCTGTGGAGAAGCTTAAGCTTAGTGTTGAAGTTGGTGGCAGCACAGAGAAGACAGAGCACCGGGTGCACAGGCGTTCTAGGAACTGCCTCAGTTGTAATGTGGAGTGGCACACAGCAGTTGCAGAAGGCCAAGGGAGTGGTAGGAAGGCAGAAACGAGGCTAGAGAGGTTGGCAGGCACCAGGTCCAGTAATGCCATGTGGGCACCCCCTTCCCATCCCATACCCTCTTTCCCGAAACATGGGTCCAATTGTACAGGACCAGATGAGCCACCACTTCCAACGTGTTATTTCCTTGTATGCTGAGCAAAGGTTTTTACACATTTTGAGTTGGATGTGACAGCAGGAAACAGCATGGGAAAGAATCATTGCTCTGAACCCCATGAGTTTTAACAAAGGTGTGGGTAGAAAGCTCCTGTCAAACTGTTGTCTTCCTGTGTACATTTGACCTAGACAGGGGCCTCTAAGAGTCCAGCATCATGGCTGAGAGAGGAAGCCACTGATTAGCCCAGTCAGTGGAATGCAGAGCCAAGGGGCATGCCTATTGGGCTTTTGGTCCTCCTCAGCAAACAAAGGCTTTCAGTTCCTGCACACAACTTGGCTGCTGGGCAGGATCCCCACACAGGCTGCTTCATCTGAAAGTTTACCCACCATCTAACCAGTTAGCTTTCAGTCTTCAAACTGATGCTCAGCCCATCTCCAGTTCTCAGGGAACCCAAGTTTTGAATCAAAGAACTCAGCAGAACTCTACACCAGAGTGATGGGATTCACTCCATCTTGGTCTCTGGACTACAAGCTTCCTGAAGCCAGTGTGCGGTTCTGTTTACCTTTGTAGCCGAAAACCTTGCCTGATGTCTGGTTCTGAACTTTTGTGCTTTTCCCTTAGCTCCTACAACATTCCCACAACTCACTGTCCCTGAGGCACATCACGCCTCCTCCTTGAGGTAGGAGGCTGGACTTTAAAGGCAATGCCTCAATGGACCTCACTTCTGCTTCCGTGGGAAGCAACATGCTTTTCTGTGCCCTGTCTTGAGAAGCTAAGGAGCCCAATTTGGTTTACTCAGGTAGGTCCTCCGGGATTGCACTTTAAACTAGAGATGCCTTCTCTCCTGGCTGTAACCCCATCACTGGCTGCAGGTGATTCTCCCCAGACCCTGTTTGGTATATAGGACTTTGCACAAGCCTCAGAGGTCATCCTTGAAATGGAATAGCCTCGATCTCCTGGAAAATGCCCATGCCCATCCTACAAGTCTGTATCCCAGGGTGCTTGGGAAGTAGTAGTCTGGATTTCTGCAGCTCAGGGTAGCACGATGAGAGTAGGTTCCAGCAAGATGCAGAACGCATGGACTTTTCAGCTCCTGTCTGTAATTGGCCAGTCTGCAGCGACAAAGTTCTGGGGTCAAAGATTTGACCTTAAAGAATATGGGGAGGGGAGAGGAGCTAACCAAGAGGCACGCGGGCTTGGCAAAGTATCCTCAGCCAGCGCCTAGCACAGCGGCGCCTAGCACACGGATCCAGGGCAGCCCTCCTCCCTCTGCCCAAGGTCGCATCCCATCCTAGCTCTAGAAACTTCAACCAGGAGGAGGGAGGTGCGGGCTGGGAACCAGGCGTGGTGTTTTGCAAAATGAAAGAGACTCGGCGATTTGTAGGTAGTCCTTTAAGCTAACAGGGAGGCGCCCCCCCTGTCCCGCAAGCTGCATCCAGGACTGCAGCGTCCGTCTGAGGACAGCTGCGAGGGTCTGCACCACTTGAGTCTCAAGGACGACGAGGTCCCCCTTCTACGGTCTCCTCAGTTCCCAGAGCTGGAAAGCAAGAGCCGGTACCCTCCTTCCCCGACCCTCCGGACGCCCGGCTCAGGCTGCCGCAGCCTCTGCAGGGACGCGACGCTAGCAGGGGTCGCGGAGCGCTGCGGGCGCAGCCTGGGTCGCGCGGGGCTGGTGTCCGGGGCCAGAGGACACCAGGCCACTTACCTTGGGGAGCCGCGGGGTTCTGACTGGAAGCGACCACTGTGCGGGTGCAGCGCGAGCTCCCGCCCGGCTTCGGGGTGCACGCAGCTGCAGCTGCACGGTCTTCCGTGGCTCGATCCTTCTTCCTCTGCACCGTCCGCGTCCTGGCACGCACCGCGCGCCGCCGCACCCTGCTGTCCGGGGCGCGCACACCCTCTGGGCGCCCTCAGGTCGGAGGGCTGGGCCTGGAGCCGGGGCGCACTCGCCGCGGGCACACCTACCGCGCCGGCTGCGGGACTGGGAGCGCAGGAGCCGGATCTTTGCCGCCGCCACCCGAGTCCCCGCCTTCCTGACGCGGCGCGGGCTTTGGTGTGTAGGAAGGGGCAGAATTGCGACACCGAGGGGAGGGTCTTAGCCTTGGACAGAGTTAAGAAGAAAAACTTTTGGAAAAGAAACCAGAAAAGTCCCAGCCGGTATTAGGCGCTTTCCAGATTTCCCCAGGGCTCCCTCGTGCGTTTTTCTAAGTTCGTCTAGACTCTGGAGTCTGGAGTCTAGACGTTTCTGTACCCACAATGGTAGAGACACAGTATCAGACTGGGTAATAACTGCCCAAGTCAGAACTGCCCAAGTCAGAACCATGGCCTGGCAACTGAGATCCTGTGAGCAGTGGGGTCCTAGCAGGGGTGTGGGAATGTGAGAGTCGTTCACAACAGGACTTAGATGTCTCCTAAGTCGTTTCCCTTCGAATTTCCTTCCAAATCCATGTTGCAGCTCCAATTTTTTTGTTTAAATCAGTCTTTCTCTTCGTACACAGGTCTCCACGGCAGCTTTGTACCAGTTAAAAATTACTAACCTTGAATGGACAGATAGCTAAGGACCACTTCGGCCACTAACCCGGAAAATGAAGTGGAGTGGCTTCTCCTACCCCTCACAGAGATGACCAACAGAAGAGCAGGGAAGGAGATGGCAGCTGGCAGGTATCCAGAGCCGAGCTGTGACAGCCCCCTACCCCCAGCCCACCTTCCTAGAACCCACACCCGGGAAGTTGTATTTTTGACATTGTGACCCAGATGGGATAGATAATTTGAATCAGGGAGCATTTAATTTCCGTTTCGACAGAAACATAGTTATTAGGATGACTTCATTTCCACGAAGCTTTCACAGTAACAAACGGGAATGAAGCTTTGGCCCATGAAGTGCTGGGACCCAAAAAGGAGTTGGGGGCGGGGCTGTGGCCCAAGGGAGAACAGCCTCAGACTAGTCCTACTAAGACCTGGTTGGTTGTTGTCATCCCATCCGCTGAAAGGAACATGACAGGAGCGGCTCTTTTCCTCAGAGAAGCCAGAAATCCAGATACCAAAGTGAGGTCTCTCTATTTTTGACATTTTGTTTTAAAAAACGCCACTCTTGCAGAGGACCCAGGTTGAATTCCCAGTGTTGGAATGATGCTCACAACTGGTCACTTCTCTTCTGGTCTCCTGGTGCACCAGGCATGTATGTCCCTGGAGCACATACATACACGTACAATGCGGGCAAAATATTCAAACATATAAAATAAAATAAATAAATCTTATTTTAAAATGCTAAGCCCTGTCCCTATAACTGTTTAAGCTCCTGGACTTGTGCTTCATCATTTGTTTGTTTGTTTGTTTCGCTTCTCAACATCCTTGTGCAATAGAGCCTGTGTAGTAGTTCACTTATTCCTTCTGAGGGAACACATGGCTGTTTTGGATGTGTTCTGTGAGTAGCCCAAGGTCACATAAGCTACTTGACTGAGCTGGAACAGAACCCCAAGCATTCTAAGTCTCAGTCTTGGAACCTTTCTGCACTCTGAGATGCCTCGAAGGATTTGTTCCTTGATTTCTGGGCATTGTGAACCTAATTAGGCCTAGGGCTGGCACTGGGGTGTGGAGGCAGAGCACCTTTCCTGAGAAGATAGAGGGCAGTGCCTGGCTGCCATCCTCGAAAGCAGCTCAGCCTGATGACTCAGAGGTGGAACGGTCTCCAGGGTAGCGCTGAGTCAGAGGAGTCACAGCCTGAACTGGGGCATCCAGGGCTTCTGAGGTTCAGACCATCCAGAATTGACTGGGAGACTATACTAAGCAGACACACCCACCCTGGACCCTCCAAGGCTGGCACTCTACCATGCCACGCAGAAGCCACAGGCACAGAAAAGAGGCCCCAGCTAGGACATTAGCTGTTTCCTGTCATGGCAGGAAAGTGGCAGAGTTAAACTAGCAAATGGACCACTGCAGAGTCCTGAGAGGGAGACCCCTCCCAGGCAGCAGATCTTTTAGAATTTCAGGTTTGGACACTTCTTTTTTTTTTTTTTGTTTTTTTGTTTTTTTGTTTTTT